CAGCTCTGAGAAGAAATGGAACCCGGCATATGGGGAGGACAGCAGGATCCATGCTACAAACAGACCAACACTCAACACTGGAGCTTGCCTCTGCTGCCTCTCTGGCATTTTCTTCTTCCACTTCTCCCTCTTTTTCCTCCTCTTCCTCTTCCTTTTGCTCTTCTCCTTATCCTTCTCATTTTATTTTTTTTTTGGCCAGTCATGGGGCCTGAACTTTGGGCCTGAGCGCTGTCCCTCAGCTCTTCAGCTCAAGGCTAACGCTCTACCACTTGAGCCACAGTGCCACTTCCGGCTTTTTCTGTTTATGTGGTGCTGAGAAATTGAATCAGGGCCTCATGCATGCAAGGCAAGCGCTCTACCACTGAGCCACCTTCCCAGCCTTCTATTTTTTCTTTCTTTCTTTTTTTCTTTCTTTCTTCCTTTCTTTCTTTTTCTTCCTTCCTTCCTTCCTCTCCTAGGACTTGAACTCTGGACCTGGGCACTGTCCTTGAGCTTCTTTTTGCTCAAAACTAGCACTACTAGTCCCTTGAGCCACAGCTCTACTTCTGGCTTTGTCTGTTTATGTGGTACTGAGCAATCAAACTCAGGGCTTCCTGCATGTGAGGCAAACACTGTGCCACTAAGCCACATTCCCAGCTCTCTGGCATTTTCTTTTTTTATTATAAACATATTTTTATTGTGAAAATACTGTTCAGAGGGGTTACAATTGCATGGACAATATAATGAGCACCCGCCCCCCCCACCAAAGTTGTAAAGTTCCTTTTTCAACATAACGACTTGTACATCTCATTGTTGCAATGGGTCCTCCTATATCCCTGTTTTAACAATTTGTTTTTTTCTCTTCCCCCCCACATATACCAACATCATATATAGTGAGAGCAGGGGTTATACCGTAGGGGAGGGACATACAAAGCAACAAAGATATAATCTTATAAATATGTTAGAAACAATCACATGAAAGATCTCTTTTTTTTTTGTCAGTCGTGGGGCTTGAGCTCTAGGCCTGGGAGCTGTCCCTGAGCAATTCAGCTCAAGGCTCATGCTCTACCACTTGAGCTATAGCTCTGGCATTTTCTTTATTGTGCAAATGAGGGTTCTATGGACAGATTTTGGGAAATTCATGACAAAAATTGAGAACAAGGTGGGCACCAGCGGCTCACAATCTGTAATCCTAACTACTTAGGAGGCTTAGATCTGAGGATCTCAGGAAATTATATGGGACTCCCTCCCCACACCTTTTCTTTTTTTTGGGGGGGGGGTCCGGTTGTGGGGCCTGAACTCTGGGCCTGAGCACTGTCCCTCAGCTCTCCAGCTCAAGGCTAGCACTATACCACTTGAGCCACAGCGCCACTTCCGGCTTTTTTCTTTTTGCTTATATGATGCTGAGGAATCAAACCCAGGGCCTCAGGCTTGCAAGGCAAGCGCTCTACTGAGCCAACTTCCCAGCCCTCCCCACACCTTTTCCACCCCTGCCCCTGGTCATGAGGCTTGAACTCTGGGCCTGGGCACTGTCTCTCAGCTATTCAGATCAAGGCTAGTCCTCTACCACTTGAGCCACAGCACCACTTCTGGTTTTCTGGGTTGTTTATTTATTTTTATTTTTGGTCCGGTC